AACACAGAATAATTTGCAGTAAAAGTAGTTAAATTAATTTATTAAATGAAAAATTAAATAACGATTAACAAGATATTTAGTACTTTTAACCAAACCTGTATTTAGCACAAATTGTTTCACGCTATTAAGAAAATACGCATGTATCTTTACATATAAAGAACGTGTGTATATAGAATAGTTTATCAACCTTTATTTAAGAATGAATTATTAAAAAGAACAATGAAAATTGAGACATAATGTTGGAATATCAAAAATACCCCATGCGAATAATTACTAATTACGTTTAAAAGAACCATGCAGATAATATAGGATTGTGCCAGAGATGCCACAAAACAAAACGCGAAATGTACGACGGTATCCGTTTGTCAAAATCATGTAAAATATGAATTTGAAAAAATAAACCGTGAATATTTTTCATGCTCAATAGTAGGGTATTCGCCCGGCGAACGCGCGAACAGCGAGGGGAGAGGTAACGCGTCACGCGGCGAATAGGAAGGGGGAGCTTGCCGTGCGGCGCGGTGGTTGACTACGTCATCACTTTGGCATTCGCTCGGCGATCTCGGAAGGAGATGGACGTGTTTTGCGAAGCGTACCGGGTGCTGCAATTAATGAAAATTAGATATTGACGAATGCGAATTACGTGAGGTTGCCTAAACATAAGGTATGAGATTCTTATTGTTAGATATTTCAAATTGTGGCTTTTTATCACTTTGAATCGTATAACTCTGTCATTTTCGTATTACTCCGCATTCTCTATGGGAAAAATAACAGATAAATTATATTAAAATTATATATCTCTAAATGTATGTACATACTATTTATACGTATTATTCTATTTAGTCGAAATTGTTTCATAATTTAAAATAAATTTTGCATTTATCTTTATTTAAAGCATGTATGACATATTATTAATTTTTATTTAATTGTAAATCACAAAAGAGAGCAACATAAATTAAGATATAATGTTGAGATGTCAAAAGCACTTTACGTGAGCATTTATGTAAGAAAAATCACGCTAAAAACTTTTTTTTACTTCTTGTCTTTTGTCAGCACATTGTAATATTGATACGAAATATCTAAAATTATAAAATGAATGTTAAATATTATATATTCCTCGGTGTATCACAATATAATTATATTATCACCTTAAACGATTCACGCCGCTAAGACTAGATACATATAAGAAATTGTTTCATTAATCGGTGAACATTAAAAAGTTAAGAATATATTATTTTACTTCGTAATAACGCGTTAATATTTCGACGGTTGGCGACGCGACCTTGGGGTGGGGATGGCACTGGGTGGCACGAAGCGACGCATCATGTTTACGTTTACGCGTTTAATTTTCCACGCAGTTGTTTTCTTACCGAGATTCGTAGAAGTAAGTAGTCATGTCGCGTGCGACTCTTTTTTACTTTTTGAAATCTCATCGCGAAGAATGCTAAATATAATACGAAACGTACTTAATGAATAATTAATCACTAATAATAGTATTATGTGAATATTCATAAAATATATTTCGTATTATATCTAGCATATTTTGAGATTATTATATATTGGGTCATCTAAAAAGTATCCGCGATTTTTTGTCACTAGATGTGTGTTGATGGTCATATGTCTAGTGACAAACTACCGCGGATACTTTTTAGATGATCCAATATTTCAAAAAGAAATGTGAATAAGAACAGCGCGCGACACGCGCGCGGCTACTTGTCTGTACGAACGGTATCACACGAGTCATAAAAATAGCAACGTTAATAAATACTTTTTAATAATCAAATATGCAAATAAACGAGCAATTGGAACGCAACTTGTGTCGCCGTGTACATGAAACTCGAAAGTGTCTAGGGATTATTGCAATTGAAAAGCAGCCACTACATTGCACCCCAGTGATCCCAGTGCAGACAGTGTAGCTACAAAGAACAAACGTCGAGTTGAACGAGTCTTTCGGACTCTTCTCAAAAGATCATTGTTGTTATAACATCCTGTGTTCCAACATCCTGTTTTGTTTTTATGATTTTTATATTGATCGCGGCGAGAATGTGAATGTGAAAATTGCCGTGACAGAATTACGTAAACGTGACTTATCAGTGAAAATCACAGTGTATAGAAAATAGCGAAAATGCAAGAGCCACGGTATATCGCGAACGCGTGTCAAGAGTATCAGGACGAATTTTACATCGCTGCTGCGAAATATTGGGACCGCATCCCGCCCACAGTGGATGGGATGCTGGGAGGCTTCGGATTTATTTCGCAGACTGACATAAAGGGCTCTACACTCTTCTTAAAATCTCTGTTCGAGGTATGTATTGTTATAATCTAATCTATTACTATCTTCGTAGTTCGTTAATCTATTTCAACATTTGCATGTTTGATAAAAAAATTGATAATTATTTAAAAGACGCCTTACAATTTCAATAAAATTATGCTCATTCGACGCGTTTTTATATGAAAGAATCCAGCAGTAAAATGTGCTCAATCTGGAGCATGCTTTGCATAATCCATATGCGCATGTGCTTAGGTATTTCTCACTGTTTATTTGTCTGCTTTAAAAATACGAATTCTCTGCTTTAAAAACGAGTTCTCTAGGTAATTATTCAGAAAACGCTCCTCATCTTTAATTTCAATGCAATTATGATCATTCGATGCATTTTTGCATGAAACGACAGAATCTGGCTGTAAAATATGCTCAGTCGTGCAAAGCGAAATATTAATCATTAAAGTTGACCACTATTGGGATATAGTTTACGAAACCTATCATATTGATCTAATCAACCTAATAATGAATTGCACATATGCTGGGATTACGTATGCATGCTAGATTCCAAAACGATTAGATAGATCCCTGTGCAAAATAGAACACAGGAGAGCATATATTGAATATATGTATTAAATTTTCGTACTAAATAAATGAGTCTAAAATGTACTTAAAAAAAAATAGATTCAGAAAAGATTAGATCGATTCCTATGCAAGGTTTCTCTTATTATATTAATTTTGCATGAAACACATTTTACTTTCATTTGTAATTGAAACAATTCAGATAAAAATGTTGAAAAAATCAATTTTAAGAGTTCTAATAAGTTGTAGATTTAATCCTCTAACACTGACAATGGATTAATTGGACCCACTTGATTATATTCTTTATCATACACAATAAATTTGAATTATTGTTATTAAAAGACTTAGTATTTTTTTCCAGTACTTATTTAATATTTATTTAGTATTTACTTAGTATGTTTTTTTTCAGCGTCAGTATGTGTTATAGATTTTAATTCTGTTCTTTTTAGTTGAATTTCTTACATCTTTTTATCTTTTTCCTTTTTTTTTCTTTAATGTGGAGAGAAAAAAAGGAAAGATATACTATGGAAATTCAGCTAAAAATAACAGGCTTTTTGGCTTCATTTTTGGAAAGTTAAATATGCAAAAAAATGAAACATGTTAAAAAAAATTGTTCTGTTTTAGATAGAAAATCCACCTTCTAAAGCATTTGCCCTAGATTGTGGTGCTGGTATTGGTAGAATTACAAAAAACTTATTATTAAAATTTTTTAAACATATAGACCTCGTTGAGCAAAATCCAAAATTTCTAGAGGTAGCAAAGATCTCCCTGGAAAACTGTTCATCGAGAATCGGCCAATATTATCCTATTGGTAATAAATTTATCTAAATATTCTATAAGGCTGAAGTTTGTTACGACATACATATAGATATACTCGTCTTTTTTAAGGATTGCAAAACTTCTGCCCTATGCCAAATAAATACGATCTTATATGGTGTCAATGGGTATTGGGACACTTAGAAGATAATGATTTAATAGAATTTTTTAGAAAATGCTCGTGAGTTATATTTTACTCTATTATAGAAATACGAAGTCTTATTTCTTACCTTGTAATTTGGATTTGCAGATTGAGCCTGAAAGATAATGGTGTGCTCGTGGTGAAAGAAAATATCACAACTTCAAATAATATGGAAATTGACAAGGAAGACTCTTCCGTAACGAGACCAATGAAAACCTTACGGTCTTTATTTGAAAAAGCTGATCTTATTTGTATTAAAGAACAACAGCAAACTAAATTCCCGCGTGGTTTATATCCGGTTCACATGTTTGCCCTTAGACCAATAAATCAGTGAATTAGTCAATAATGCGCAATACAAATCGAATCTCTGATTACTGTAATTCCTTAGATATCTAAATTATTTTATTTAATTCTATTTTCTTAAATTATTTTAATTTACTTAAAAACTAATGTAATTTTATAAAACGAAGAAAGTCAAAAAGAAAACTCATATCGTGCATTTTTTTATACGTAGAAAGAAAATAAATATTAACTCTATAAATTCATTTTATACAAAAATGATGTTGCTCATAATTACAATAAATACATTTCGAAGTCCTTTGTAAAAAAGTATAATAGTTAAGAAATTTAAAGGAAATAGACACAATAGAGAAGCTATCAGTGTCATTTTTCTTATCGCTTATTAGAGTTTCAGAAGTGGGATTAAGCTGTAAGAAGTAAGTGACAGCACGAGAAAATTTCAGGGCGCCCTGGGATTCGAACCTAGGAATCTGGGAACCGAGACCTAATCTTCTCCTTATAAGAGATATAACCGTATCTCCAGATTGCTAAACATCCATCTTCGCCATACAGTACTGATGCCGATAGTTTTTTTGTTGTGCCTATTTCCTCTAATTTCTTACAGTAGTTTACTTTGGCCGTATTTTTTCATACATAAAACGCTGATTTACGTCTTGAGGGGAAGCATTTATGAGTCGTCTTTTCACAGCATGAAAATGTTCCAAAGCGAAATTATAGAATTCATTTTCCATCTTCCATATAACCGATTGCTGGATTATGTCTACTGTTTCAGGTAGTGGATTGAGTTTTTGTGTAGTTTGTCGTAAGTGTGACTTATTATCTAAAAATTAGAAAGCATCGATGTCTTCTGATATTATTTCAACTGTGATAATGTAATAAATAAAAGATTACCATTATACCTTCTGAAGAATCCCTTCTAATTTATTTATTTTCTCAAACACTTACTATGTAAGAAGAAGTTGTACGCTCCTCTAAAAAATCGTGGTAATACATTCTCCAATACTTCTACAAATTCGTTTAACTCCTCCGTTACTCCAACCAGAAAGTAATACCTTTGTAGATTTCGTTTAGCTTCCTCTAATGCCCAGCTATTACCAATTTCCCTGCAAAATGAATAAAATATACTAATAATGGTTATTATATCTTATTGTTCATTTAAGAAAATATAAAATTGAGATAAAAGATTTATTTGAAATGTTTTGTTTCTCAAATTATTTTAAAAGAAGAAAATTTACCAACAAGCTGGATCGTGGCCACATAAAAATGGAATCTGTAGCCACATGTTATTAGGATCACAGTCAGGTTGACCACTATTTATACATTCGTCAAATGTCTAGATAAAATAATTACACAAATGTATTCCGTAATTGGTAATACAACAGAAACGAAAGGATAATTTTATTTATTTTATGAAAAAATAAATCAACGTAAAATAAATTTGTTTATGTGATACAATTGGAAAGGTGATTCTACATGAAAAAAATAAGTAAATACAGAATAAATTTTTTCACGAGATTTTCGAAAATCGATTTTAAATATTCGCTAGTACAAGTACATGTGTTCCGATTTAACACATCTCGCTAGAGTGTAGGCTACTATCTACTCACGTTTTATTGAGTAATCAAGAATAAACAAAATAGGATATTTATGTACAATGAATTTTATTTTGATTTTATAAATTGCTGAAAATGTTACTCGGAAACAAAGCCTTATATGAAAAATGTTTATTCTATCTTTTTACAATTTATTTTTTCGTGTGGACTCGTCTCCTTACCCATTGAATCACTAGTTAGAATATCTACACATATAGAATATCCTATATGTGTGTATACATACATACACGCGCGCGCGCGCGCGCACACACACACACACACACATGTGGCGAATTAATACACAACCTTTGTATCTCCATGTTTCTTCCTTATAACATGAGGTCTAAAATTATCTCCGTATCTTAAAAAGTAATAATATGATATAAATCTGTCTAAAGGTTTCCTCAATAAATTTATGTACAAAGGCATACGTTTAGTACCAAATCTGAAAAATAAAATATTCGGTAAAACAAATAAACATTTATTTTATCTTGCAGAAAAGATATAAATCTTGCTGTACCTACTTTCCAAAATTTAAAAACGCCATGTGTCCATGGTAAAATGCTGGTTTTATACTATTCCAGTTTGATATATTGTTTGCAAATTGAATCTGTACATATAACATATCTGTGTTGAGAATGAATTCTATCAAATAAAATATAGCGTATCTAAGCTTTGACAAAAAAGAAAAAAATATGTAGACAAGTAAAATATACAGACTTATTTTCTCGCAATATCATGAGATAAAGAACACTTATATCGTGCTCTATAGAAAGAATATATTTCAAAAAGTAATTATATGCTTTTAAATAAGATTCTAATGCAAAAAAAAACTAGAACACACTACAGTTAAGCAATGCATAAATATTCTTTAATTAATAATAAATATATAACGTACTTGGTTAGCAAAAGTAAGAGTGTGCATGTTATTGGTCACATTAATGTGGAGCACATGATACTTATTCTGCTTGCACAGGTCATAAACTAATCCCATGAAACTTGTGGACGCTGTTTTTGGTACTCTATTGTATATCACGATAACATCCTCTAGATCATCCTCAATGCCTCTTCGCGCCTCGGCGTGTCCATTGTCATACCTAGCATCGATTCGTGCGACAACATCATCTAGAAAGAGAATCTTGTTACTTCTGCTCAACTGCGAGCAAATCGAAACTGGCTACATTCAAAGTTACAGCTGAACACATACGGAGTGATCTGTAGCTCTCCTCCAAGTTGTTTAATCGCTGTCGCAGATAGACTATTACGATGACGAGAATTAGGATCAGAACCCATTGCGCGAATGGCAAGTTCCTCAGTATCATCTTACGTCGTCGCTCAAATCATACCTATCATCCGCATCGGCCGCCCGCGAGCGTGCCGTACCCGAAGCCGAGTTAGCCAAGAGAGCTCAAAATGTATATACGCCAGGTGTCCACGCAAAGTATCCTTCCTTTCCCGTGTGTATCAGACCCTTCTTTATAAACACGCTTATCTTTGTACGCCAACGTTCGACTGACAGCTGTCGAATTGTAACTGTAGTATACTATACAATAAGTACTTTATCTATGTCGTGGCCATTGACAAAATCGAACAAAGCGTATGATTTTTAGGTTAGAAAATCACGCGAAAATATCCTGCGAGCTGCGAGAAACTTGACTACGATTGGTATTTCTGCCATTCATTTAACTTTCCGCATAGTTACAAAAGTCGGTAAGAATATCTTAAAATAAAATAAATTATATAATCTGATAAATATATATACATTAGATTATATATAATATAGCGAAAATTAAAAATTGTATTGTTTGGACGCTCAGAAAATATTCATAGTCGAAAAATTTAGCCTCTAAAATTTGGAATATACCCGAAGCTCATTCGTTTTGTTAGAAAAGAATGTATTCATTATATAAAATTGCTAATTAGTTTATTTTCTACAAATAAGGTTTTTTTTATAAAAAAATTTTCTTGTATTAGTACTTTTTGCACTCATTGTATATGTATATGTAATATGTAGGATGTTTCATTTTAATAAAAATTGTGAAATATCTTGGAAACGAATTAACACAAAAGTAGTTCAGATAAAAGTTATATTCATTTAAAAAAAAATTGATTTTATATATTCCCTTCCAAACTATATCTTGTCTGAATTAAGTATTTTTATGTCCATTGCTTTGTTTTCAATACATTTCTATTAAAATGAGACACTCTATACATAATAAGTACAAAAAAAGTATTCATATAAGGAAAATATCTTTAAAAAACCATATTTTTAGAAACAGCCATTTTTATTTATGAGACTGGTATAACAAGCCAGAGGCTTAACATAAGAAGAAGAAGAAGAAGAAACTATTTTTGCTGAATATACTTATTTGTTAATAAATTGCTAAGTAATGTTTATTTTCTATAAGGCTTTTTTTTTATAAAGCCGCCCTTGTATGAATACTTTTTGCATTCTAGCACACATTCTGTATATATGCGTATGTCATAATATATAATTAACGATTATTTTATAGGAGACACAATGATTGAAGTAACAACATTAAGAATATTAATGTATACGTTTTATAATGAACTTTAGGGTAAAAAAGGTTCGAGTCTAGTACATATATGATCGTGATTAACAAATAATTCCTATAAATACACAGTCGCAGATCTGTTTTTTTTTTAGCACAATATATCACAAATCTCATTATCAATTTATTAAATAGTTCATATGATATCTATATAATTAATACGTAGGTATACATTAATTACACATATTAATTGTTATTGATTTATATACATTTTTATGCACTAGAGCGGTGTTACGACATCGTGCATTGCGTACCTCCATGTCCACGCCCTCGCTACCTCCTCGAACTTTTCGCGATCGCTCATATACATTTCTCCTAATTCTGGTTCCATACACACCTATTAATAACAGTATTATGTTAATAATAATATCAGTATTAACTTAAATATATTATTGCTAATCTTGATAAGTATATAAACATAATATATATCAATATATAGCATCAATTTTTAGATTAATTTTAATATTAAAATTTTTTATTTTATATAAATTGAAATAAATAATTAAAGTAAATATTTAAAATATTTTTATCGAACAGATTGATTCTAATTTTAAAATAATATACTTACTTGGCAGTACGGATCCGTAAGCAGACTCTGTACACTAATAAGAACTTTAGATATTGTAAGAGCTAGCGACCAATTATGATGTATCGAATCAATACCAACATCTCCATGTCTTGATACATTTGGGTGAAGTATTTTTGTTAGAAATCTCACTATGGGTGGGCACATGGGATAACTATAAGAAATGTACATATGTTACATAGAACATTGATAATATAATATAAAGCAAGAATTGTTGTATTTTCTTGTGTCCATGAATCCAGAATTCCATAAGTAATTTGAAAATAAAGTTCTAATTTTTATATTATAATTTATTGAAGTCTTTTTTAAGATATTCTTACAATTAAATTAAAAAAATTTTAACAATTTTGTAATAGAAAGAAGAATCCTATATGTATATAAAGTAGTATGTAGTAAGTTTCTTTTAATATAATATATACCTGAACGGTACTTGTAGATATAGATAAAATAATCCTCCCTCATATGGACTTCCTACTGGTCCTGTGATGGTGGCTTGCCAATGACAACACATATGATCAAGAGGCATCGCCTCAATGCCTTCAGGTGGATCGATTCTTAAGCTTTTGAGTTCGCTGCGCAACCTGTTTCTCCGCCAAGAGTTTTCCTCCATCCTAGCAGGTCTCGATCGCAGGGAGGTCTGCGCCAAGCATGTCCGACATGGAGCTGAAGAGGCCAGATGGTCATATACCTTGTACCAATTTTTAATGCAGCCAATGGGCTTGTACAAAGGCCAGCGTAATTTCACATGTTGCTTCCATTGCAACTGTGTAACGTGTGTTGATAGCAGGCCGCACCATCGTCGACAAACATTTGCTGCCGACCATAAGCTGATGTCATCGAGATGCGAGAAGATGGCGAGCAGCACTTCAGGAGGCAGTCTTTCTACCAAACCTGGCTCGTTGATGGGTTCATGTTCGATGTGTTTGTGATTCGATAATATCTCCAGCCGTTCCGATAGATTATAAGGTCGCGACGGCTCACCTACATCCTCGTATACTCTATAATTCCAATGATATTGCCCAGGTTCATTGTTCTGACCATCGTGACCCAGCGCAAACATCTCTGGCATACTTCGTAGATTTTCTTCCACTCTATCATGTACATTTAGATCGTTTCTGTTAGCACAATTCTGGTGGCAGTCAACTCTTGTTCGGCAGACCATACTCTGCAGGTCGAGATTCACATCGCGCGATGCTGAAGCATTTCGCGCAGATCCTACTACGCATATGTCAACGGAATTGCTATTTGAATTGCTCTGGAGCATGTGATAATTGCATTGAGGCGTCACGTTTTGATACTGCGGATAACATCTGCGTGAAATGTTTGCATTATGATTGAGTGGATTCTGTTGTGCGTTTGGAATATTAGGATTGACACTCTGCGGAGAATTTTGCTGTTGTTGACTAGTTCTTCTCTCATGATTATAATATAGATCGGTTGGCTCGTCATTTCCTGAATCTTCATCATCTGTTTTCTATTTTGAAAAAGCATACACATATATAAGACTAACAATATTATTAATAGTACATAAATAATAATCTCTTAAATGATATGCCCGGAAAAATTTGATAAAATCTGTTATACTGATATACATCCAGGAATAGTTCAGTACTGAACTTTATGCTCAATGTATTTTATAACCTAGAAGATCCCTATCTATTCCTAACAAGTCACAAGTAGTTTATAGATTTGATGAAAATGTTACTGCAGATCATATTCATAGTGTGTTCTCGTTTTAAGATTGTTTTTCTTAAGATGTAAATATGGTTCTGTGATTGGCTTATGACATCTCAAGACTGTATTTAAAATCGTCTTAAATATAAGAAATAACCATGGATATTAGTCTTATAGTGTATTTTCATTATTTTTACTGCAAAGGAGTTAATAAATCATATGCTTTAATAAATGATTTATATTAACTAATCATTTATTAACATTTATTCATTGAATAAAATATATATATATATATATATATATATATATATATAGTATATACATACCATTATATATAGTACATATTTCATATTATGTGAAGTTAAATAATTATCAAATTTATATGATATTGTACCTCACTGAAGATTGGCATCTGGAGCAGATCAACATCATTAGGAAAGACAAATGCATGACATGTTGCACAGACTGGTTCCTCGAAACATGGTCCATAATATCCATTACAAATATAACATGCAGTTGTCTACAAATTAAAAAAAAAACTTACATATGAATACATAAATTTTTATTAAAATATAATAAAAAGAAAACTATGAAATGACACAAAAATTTTAGTCGATCCATTATTTACAAATACATATATACTTATAACAATCAAGTTATAATAGGATAATGATTGTTTTAACAATTAATCATATAATGTCAATAAATTTCTCGCACAGGGAAATAATTTATATAATAATAGATATAAATCGTCCGATATCTTTATCTTTGTTACAAAATCGCGACACTCGATCATTAAAATGTACGCAAAAGTATTGGCAAAATACGGTAATACTCGAAAGAAAAAGAGAGGAAGATAGAGCGGAAATTGGCTTACCGAAAATTGAAATTCGGGACAGGGGACGTATTCGATCGACTCGACAAAATCGTCTTCTAGATTTAGACTAAGACTCAAGTCACCATTCTCGCTTATTTTCTCGCTGTTACCGTTCTGCGTGCAATCAACAATCTTATCACCTGCCATTTTGTAACAATCATTCGCGAAATGTATGTAATGTAATGTGATGTATGTATGCATATACCATGCGGGCGGTGCAATTCTTTCAGTGCTGCCAAACCAGCAATGAGAAAGTCACCAGATTTTTCAATAGAAATAGGGCGCTTTTTCTAATTGTAAAATTACTGAACACTTTCGTGTACCAGAGTATTAATCATGAAACTTTATCCCTAGAATGGAAAGTGAAAATTGGAAAATTTTTACCATTAAAATTAATGAAGAAATTTTTCACTTTCCATCCTAGAAATAAAGTTTCATGATTGATACCCAAAGAGAAAAATATAAGGGGGAACATGAGGGCCTTTTTCCTGTAAAATGTGACGCGTAGCCAATAAACTTATAGCTCCTAACATGTTCATTGGTTAACGCATTTTGCCGTGCGGCAAACATTCCCGCGTCCAGTGTGCAAAAGCCATAAGCTTATTGGCTACCGCTTGACGCTTCAAACAAAACACAAACTTCATATTTTGCCGCGCGGTAAGCGTTTCCACGTTCAGCAGCGTCCAGTGTGCAAGAGCTATGAGACTGGATTGTTCTACTTTTCGGTAAATTTCAACTCACTGTCTTATTTTCTTACTCTATTATGCTCTATTATTATTCTTATGTTTGTCTAGTAAGTAATTATCACAGATTTCTATAACTAGATATATCAATGTAATAGAAAGAGATGAATCTGATTCCGCATCCTGCGCTGTCCTTGTTTCAGGGCGCATTCCACTTAACTTCGCAATAGTCGCGAGCATCATTTCATTTTGTTTGAAAACGATAAGGACTTGGGTTAGAATAGGAAGATGTTCAACAAGAAAACAAACGAAACGTAACATCTATCAATTAAGTTTTACCATATAA